GAGGGGAGGTAAGTCCAGAGTGGCCGACCACACCGCCGGGGGTGGGGGGTGGGGGGGGTGTACCTGCATTGCTGAAGACCCAGGTGGAGATGTTGGCCCCGGTGCTCATGAGATACTCCACATCCAGACTGGCTTCCACGCCGGCCTGGCCTCGGCCCTGGTGCCCGACAATCTTGTCGACGCTCGAATGGTGTGGGAAGCCTCCCCCAAAGAGGTGCATGAACTCAGCCAAGTCAGCCTGGTGGAAGTACTGCTCGAGGAACTGGAGAGGGGGAAAGGAGCTGCATGAGCCTTTGGGCGGGGCCCGGGGGGGGCGGGAGGACGAGGTGGGTCCCAGGCCTGGTTGGTGGCCTCAGGAGGACACAAGGCACCGACCGGGGGGGAGGGGGCTCTGTACTTCTGACCAATGCTCCCTCTAAGCTGTGGAGTCCTGTGAGCAAAAATTGTGGCATTACAGTTGTGAGCGAGTGATTTGGCTACTGCCTAAGTTAGTCTGCCCCGGAGCCCTCCTTCCTGAGCGAAGACAAAAGTGTGTGAGCCGGAAGCTAAAAGACTGTGAGCTAGCACACACTCACTCGGCTTAGAGGGGACACTGCTTCTGAGCACATCGGCCCTCTCGGCCACGGTCCTGCGAGGCAGGCTAGACCAGGAGCACCCGACTGACTGAGCAAAAGCGGCGTGGCCTCTGCCCCCGCCCCGGCGGCAGCCGTCGGGATCGCCTGGCCAAGGCAGGACTGCCCCTCACTCTCGCCTTTGGCTTCCGGGGCTAAAGACAGACAGACATGAGGCGGAGTGCAGTGCGGTGCCCCCGCCCCATCCAGGGCTCCAGGGGCACGCGGGGGAGGCCACATCGGGGGAGGCCACATGGGGGGTGGCATTCCCGCAGAGTACCCGCTTGACCCTCTGTCCTTGTGCCAAGACCCTTCTGGCTAAGGTATTCTGAGCAACAACATCACATCACCTTTTCCTTAACCAACACAGACTCTCTCAAAGAAACCCAAAAGATAAAGCACACTGAAATTAGCCCCAAATCATATCTGCAAATCAGCCCTCCAAAAAGGAAGGCAGGAACTTAGGAAAATAAACTGTGTGTCAACAACTGAATGCCACGTCTACAAAGGAGCAGCGAGCCCTCCGTACCAGGGCGCCACCACACCCAAAGGCCCCGTCTTTTGGCTCCTCTCACGTGAAGTGGCGAAGGGAGGGAACCAGAGCCCAGCCTCTGACAGGAAGGACAGGTAAGTCGGGGGGACCAAGGCTCAGCGCGTATCACTTCTGCTGGGGAATGCCCAGCGCCCCGGGCTCAGTCCCCGGCTGCCTCTCCGGCTACGGTACGGCGTGAAAGAGCCTTCTCGGGCGGAGAGCCTCTGCCAGTCAGAGGTGGCGTCACTGGCCTGGGCAGATCAGCTGCCTCTGCCGCGTGCCCTGCTGGCACCCCAGCCCGTGCCGTTGGGCAGTCTGAGCTTAGGAGGGCCGTATGTGGTGTGCCAGACCGGGACCTGCTCCGGGCTGAGAGAGCAGCCTAGAGGAAGGACGG